TTAAATAGAACTGACAAACTCTTACCACCTTATTAAAAAAGGAAAAAGAAAAATAAAAAGGAAAAAGACTCAAATACATACAATTAGTAATCAAAAGGGTGACATGACAACAGATCCTTTAGAAATCTGGAAGACTATCAATGCCTACTTTGAGAGCCTGTTATCTAATAAGATGAAAAACACAGAAGACACAGATTCCTAGATATATATGAATTACTAAAGCTGAATCAAGAAGATATAAAAATTCTAAATAGACCAATACCAGTCAATGAAACTGAAGATGTAATTAAAAACCTACCAACAAAGAAAGGCCCACACTCTGATGGATTCACTGTTGAATTCTATAAGAAATTAAGCGCAGACTTAATGCTGCTACTTCTCAAACTCTTTAATGAAACTGAAAGGGAAGCAGTTCTCCCAAACTCATTCTTGGAAGCAAGATTTACCCTGATACAAAACCCAGAGAAAGATCAGACCAAAAGAGAGAACTACATGCCAATCTCCCTAATGAACATAGATGCAAAAAATCCTCAATAAGATACTGCAAACAGAATGCAGCAAATCATCAAGAAGATTATACACCATGACCAAGTAGGAGTCATCCTAGAGATGCAGAGATGGTTCAACATACACAAATCAGTAAGTGTAATACACTATAGTAACACAGCCAAAGAGAAAAAAACCATATGATCATCTCAATAGATATACAAAAGCATTTGACAAAGTCCAACACCTATTCATGATAAAAATCCTACAGAAAATTAGAATAGATGGTCTTTATCTCAACCCAAGAAGAGCCATCTATGACAAACCAACAACCAACATCAGACTAAATAGACAAAAACTAAAAGCTTTCACTCTAAAATTGAGAACAAGACAAGATGTCCACTATCACCACTGTTATTCAATATAGTTCTGCCAATATTAGCCAGAGAAGTTAGACAAGGGAAAGAAATAACAAGAATAAGGATAGGAATGGGAGAATTTAAATTGTCATTATTTGCAGATGACATGATACTCCACATAAAAATTCCCAAAACTCCACCAAAATACTTTTAGATTTAATAACCAAATTCAGTAGTGTAGCTGGATATAAAGTCAACATTCAGAAATTAATAGTTTTCCTGTACACAAATAACAAACTCACTGAGAGAGAAATTAGGGAAATAACACCTTTCACAATAGCATCCAAAAAAGTGAAACATGTAGGAATTAACCTAACAAAGACAGTAGAAGACTTTACATTGAAAACTATAGCACTCTGAAAAAGGAGATTAAAGAGGATATCAGAAAACGGAAAGATATCCTTTGTTCTTAGAGACAAAGAACCAATATAGTGAAAATGGCCATACTTCCAAAATTGTTATACAAATTTAATACTGTCACAATCAACATACCAATAACACATCTCACGAAATTAGAAAAAATATCCTAAAATTAATTTGGAACCAGAAGAGACTTAGAATAGCAAATGCAGTTCTGTGCAATAAAGGCAAGGCAGGATGCATCACAGTCCCTGGTTTGAAATTATACTACAAAGCTACTGTGATAAAAACAGCATGGTACTGACAAAAAACAAAACAAAACAAAACAAACAAACAAACAAAAAACAGACCTGAGGATCAGGGGAACAGATAAAAAGATGCAGAAGCAACTCCAAACACACTCACCCACATTTATATTTGACAAAGGAGCCAAACATTTTTACTGGAGGAAAGATAGCCTCTTTAATAAATGGTACTGGAAAAATTGGCTTTCCACACGCTGAAGATTAAAACTAGACCTATATCTTTCACTGTGCACTAAACTAAAATCAAAATGGATCAAAGATCTAAATATTAAAACAGAAATATTAAATCTGCTGGAAGATAGAATACATAGAACTCTTTTAAATATTTTTTCATTTTTATTTTAAAGACACACAAAAAAACCCAAAAACAAAATAAAACAAAAAAACCCTCCAAATTTCCAAAACAATATAATAGGAGGGTAATAATGGTTAATATATTGCATATTGTTATCTTTTAATTAGTTACTCAGAGTACAAGATATCAGCATTTAATTGTCCAAACAATATTAGCACAAACCTATCTTTTCAATGAACAGAGAGAAATTAGTAGTATAACTATTTTAAGTACTATATATATATAATTTAAAATATACCATACATATTATATGGTATAAAATATACCATATTATATTTCCTTTTGCTTTTCCCTTCCTTCTTTTTTCCATTCCCCCACATCAATTTCTCTTTCCTTTTGAAGTTTCTTCCCATTTTACAATATCTATTGCAGATTTTGGATCTGTTTCATCTCATGCTAGGGAGACAATATGACATTTACACACCTGCATCTGGTTTATTTATGAATATGGTCTCAAGTTGCATTCATTTACCTATAAAAGTCTCTAGCTTATCATTCTTTATGGCTGAGTAGTACTGCATTGTATAAAAAGACCACATCTTTTTTATCCATTCCTCAGTGGATGGGCATTTGGGTTGTTTCCAACAGAATACATAGAACTCTTGACACTGGTATAGGCAAAGACTTTATGGGCAAAACCCAAATGACACAGGAAATATCATAAAGAATCAACAACTGGGCTTTGACTTTATTAAAAAGTGTACAGCAAAAGAAATCACCAACAGAGTGAAGAGACAACCCACAACGTGGGAAAAATTTTTGCCAGTTGTTAAAGAACTAACAAAAAAATCAGACTTCCCAAATTTAAAGATCCAATCCAAAAATGGGCATCTGAAAAGAATAGATGAATAAATAAAAATGGAAAATAAATATACAAAAAAATGTTCATCATCACTGGTCATTCAAGGGACACAAATGAAGAAACACTGAAATTCCATCTCCACAAAGAATAGCTATTATCAAGAAATCAACCAATAACAAATGATGGCGGGGCTGTGGGAGAAAAGGAACCCTTCTCCACTGTTGGTGGGAGTATAGACTGGTGCAACCACTGTGGCTATCAGTGTGGATAATACTCAAAACAATAAACTAGAGGTTCCATTTGACCTGGCTATTCCTCTTCTCGATATCTTCCTGAAAGAATTAAACGCATCATACCACAGCAATATATGTACACCCATGTTTATAGTGGCATAGTTTGTAATAGCTAAATCTTGGAAATAACCCAAATGCCTATCAACAAATGAATGGATAATGGACAAGCTTGAGATATTTCTAGCTAAATGGATGCATCTTGAGACCATGCTCTTAAGTGAAATAAATCGGACACACATGTTTAAAGACTGCATTGTTTCTCTGGTGTGAGAAACTGAAAGTGTAAGTAAAGACCAAATATATAATAGATATTGGGAAATGGGAAGGAAATATTCAAATGAGAAGCAGAACAAGGAAGGGAGAGGGGGGAAGGAAGGAAGGGACAAAAAAAAAAAAAGAATAGAAGGAAAAAATGGGACTAAATCTTTTTAAATAAGGAAAGGAAGAGGGGTTGAAGGGAGGATAAGGGAATGCAGAAAAAGAAGCAGAATACATCAAGTACAGGTACAAAGTCTCTATAATGCATGTTATTATATATATATAAAATGTACTAATAAAAAATTCAGGAAAAGGGCTTCTAGTTCTTGGAACAGCAAACCAACTTGTGTGAGATCCTCCTATTAATGATAAATACATACTTCAGACACAATATGAAAATAACTATATGAAGACATGGAGACCAATGAAAAGCAAAATTAGAAAAAAAAAAAGAAAGAGAGAAAGAAAAAAATTAGAGGGCTGATAATTCTTTTAAAAAGGGAAGCCTCACCTAGTGAGGTCCATAATTGACAGAATTTTTCTCTAAGGATATTCCACGGCCCATTGCAGCATATAGTGAAAAAGAACGTGTTTAGTAAGTGGCTGTCTTACTGGCTGAAAAGCAGAGTTGGAGTACAGAAACGTCTGAGCAACTGGTAATTAAGGAAGAAATTTGGGAAATGAGTAATCTCCTAAATACACACACACACACACACACACACCTCTCAAAACATTAGCTATCTTCTAAATATAACTTGTGTAGGGTGAGTTATCAAGAAACCTAATGGGAAAGCCACATGTTTGAATTTTGAGGGATTTTGGCAGCTGCCACAGTTTTAGGGGAACCTAGTCTGGAGCTCAGAACCCACAAAGTTGGAGGGCCCTGGCAAACACTGTGAGATTTATGTTGAAATCTCCAAAGGACTATACCTTAGGTGTAAGTACCACGTCCCAGGACTAAGGGATGTAGAAAATGATTAACGAAGAAATGAAAGACTCTTGCCTTAAGCAGGGTTCTACAGGTGCAAGGTTTTCTGCCAAAAGTTAATTGTCTGCTAAAACAAGCCCGACACTCTTTAAAGAAATATAATGGAATCCAATGTCCACAATGCATCAACACAAAATGTCGAGTTCACAACAGCAACAGCAGCAGCAGCAGCAGCAACAACAACAACAATAACAACAAATTCTATTGAAATGCCTGCCTAGGGCTTGGAAAGCTCACACTCTATCATGTAGGGACACACTGGGAACAACAGATCAGCAAGTCAGTTAGTCATTGCAATAGCCTTAAAATAGTAAAGTGGTTTGGAACAGAGTGGTGGTAGTGAATGTAGAAAAATGTAGATAGATGGGCAATGTGTTTTGCAGGTCAACTCCATATGATTGGTAAAGGTTTTAGGTGCATGAGGATAAAATGAACATCAAGAATAATAAAAATCAACTAAATTCCTTGAGTGCCTACTGTTCTTCACAGTTCATATTTCTTAAACGAACCCATGAGGTAAGCACAATGCCCGCCCACACCTTACACGCAGCTCGCTTCTCTAACCTTGGGACTGGGAGTATATGCGGTGGTTTTGGGGACTGAGCTTGTGTCAGAAAGGAGTAGGACCAGAAATTCCAAAAGGTGCAGGATGGAAGGTGGCCTAAGGGGGAGGAGGAATTGGGGAGGTGTCCCAGGGGCAGGGCCTGCTCGCTATTGGCCGCTGCAGAGGAGGGCTTTGCAGATCCTGCTAGCTAGCGGGTGGAAAGCGACCGCCCAGCACAACCCCTCCGGCCTCTGTAGCTACTTTCACTGCGACTAAGGCGAGGGAGGAGCGCGAGGACCCCAGGAGAATGCAGCGCCCACTGTGGTCTGGGGGATCCGGGGGCCTCCAGCTGCTCCTCTGTTTCGTGCTGCTGAACAGCTGCCCAGGGTGCTGCAGCGACATTAGTCCCCACGGTCAGAAGGAAATCTGGTGGGTGGGTGCGGGCAGGGTCAGTGAGCAAAACAGTCAGGGGGCCTCAAGACTAGGAGACTAAGAAGGAAAATAATGTGTTTGTGGGCATAAGGAGAGATAAGCGTAGACAGCATCTTAAAGAGGCATAGATCTCGGGATAAGTCGTCTGAACCTAAGAGGAGTCGGGACAGGGAAGATTGGGTATTCGGGAGGAGGTTGGGAAGACGGACGGGCAGAGGGCGGCTACAGGAGAAGCCAGACGCGCTGAGGGTCGAGGGAGGAGATGACCGGGGCTAGGAATTCGCCGGGGACCAGGAGCGCTAGTCTTCCAGCATCTGGGTCCTGGTAGGAGGGAAAAGGAAGGCTTAGTCATAAGTCGAAAGCCTGGGAACTGTGACCTGATTCCCAATAAGGAGGGGAATACTAGGCTGGAATAAAACAGAAGAAAGAAGGGGGAAGGGACCTTCCCTCTTCCTCCCTCTCTGCTCTGCGCCATTGAGGCTGACTCACTTTTAAACTGTGGGAGCCAATTGCGCAGGCTCGAAACGTCCCTGCGCCCACCATTTAAGGAGCTGAGCGCAAACTCCTGCTCCGACTCCTACTAACCCTATCGGATTCTTGGGTGTAGAAGCCAGTGCGGAGGATTCGCAAAGAACTGTGGGAGGAAGCCTGGCGGATGTTAGGCGGGGCGGAGGGGAGAAGACCGCCAAGCCTGGTGGGAAGTGCCAGTCGCTCTCAGTACCACGGACAGCGCCATCTGTTTCCTTGGTGTAGGGGCTCTGCCCCTGAGAACTACTTCGCCTTTCCGAAGCTCGGTTCCTTCTCGGTAGAGAGCTGGAGCTTCCACTTCTTCTCGAGGGCAGGAAATTGTTCCCTTGACTAGGGAGAATTCCCTCTTTTTAAAACTAACAAGACGGACAAGTGGTAATTCCACTATAGAAAAAAATGGGCTGTCCAGCCTGGCCCCATCTATCTGGAACAGGGGAGGTGTGCTTCATATTAGGAGCTATCTTCCTTGACCCTTGCTCTTCCCCACTGTACAGCAGGGAAAACTGTGGCTTACAAAGAACCACCCAGACTCTCAAGCCCTATAAATAACAGTACAGTGAGCCCTCTGTGCCCGCGGTTCCACATGACGTAGTTCTGCTTCCTCAAATGAAATCAACTGAGAATCACAAATACCTGGGGATATTTGTCTGCACTGAACATGTACAGACTTTTTTCCTTGTCATTATTTCCTAAATGCTACAGTGAAGTAACTACTGAGATTTACACTGTGTTAGGTTTTATAAATAATCAAGAGATGACCTAATGTATATGGAAGAATATTAATGGCTAATACACAAATAACTAACTAAGCCATTTTATATATGGGACTCGAGCAGCTTGGATTTTGGTATGGGGTGGACAATCCTAGAAACAATCATCTGAAAATACTGACGAGAGGGCGCTTTCTCCTTCTGAGGATTCCAGTCCTCTTTCACAATCCTTCCTGGCTTCAAAGTCTTCCCTAAGCTCAGCTCACCTGCTTCCCTGTGCTCCACTTCTCCACACTTGATCTTAGCCAAAAGGCCGAGAAGCAATTCCACTTCTCCGTCCGATTATCCATCTCATATGAGTAGCTTTCTGAGCCACGGCTCACCCAAGCTTGGTTCTTACTTGAAAGTTGATGCCAAAGGTGAATGAGGCTCAGGGGCTGAAGGGCAGGGCAAGTAATAATGAGGGAGGGAGAAAGGAGGATTTGAAGACGGAGAAGGAGCTTACTATAGAGGACTGAAACCAAGATATCCAGGAATGCCAGTGTGTGTGTATGGGGGAAGCTAGCACCTTCTCTTCAGCTGGTATACAGAAGGCTTTTGGGCAAGGTCTTTCCTGACACCACTATTTTGTCCTTAGATGGGCAAGGCCAGGCAGAAGTGGGGCAGCTCTGGCCCCTGAAAGGATTTACTGCTCCATTCTTCCGTCACCTACAAGTTCTACTCCACCAGCTTGTACCCCAAGGTAAGTAAAGCTGGAGAACAGAGGTTGGAGCCTGCTCAAGAGTAGAGGAGGATTGTGAGGAGTTGTCTATTCTGAAGACAGTGTTTCTCTTCTTTGGATGTCTCTACTTGAAACTTTCTTGTCACTCATCTCAGTGGGAAAGAGGGTAAGAGAGGAGTGGTACTAAAGGCTAGGTGGGCTGTTTGTCTCAAACATCCTGGAAGAGCCCAGCAGAAGCTTCTAGAAGAAATCCTGGAAGACGCTAGCATCCAACTCCTTGGGGCTAGTCCCAAGCACTGGCACTACTGAATGTTTCTAGAGCAGAGAACAATTAAAATCTCAGCCAGAAGAATATGTACACATCTCAGCCTCTAAGTAGGAAACTGGGGAAATTGTGTGACAAACAGAGGGGAGGAATACAAGGGAGGAGAGAGTCTATTGGAGACAGATGGCTGAACCTTCCTTACAGCAGAGTTTTGTGAATGAGGGGGAGACTCAGATAGAAAATCTGCCTTGAGTTCATATTACTGCTTCCAATGCCTAAAATGTGTACAATGCCTTAGAATGATAATTCTCAAAGTACACCCCCACTGAACACCAGTGTCAACAGAAAACAGCTTAGAAACATTAATTCTTAATCTTTACCCTCAGACCTACTGAGTCAGAAACTCTGGTTAGGGGGAACAACAATCTGTGTTTCAAGAAGCTTTGCAAAAATTCTAATGCACATTGGAGCTTGAGAATTGCTGCTGCAGAGTTTTCTAAGCACTTTGCATCTCTAACTTCATTTACTGCTCACCATATCATCAGATGTATCAGCAGAAACTACAACCATCATGCTTATTGAATATGACATGCCAAGCACTAAGCTAAGCAACTTTTATAGACTGTCTCATTTAATTATCTCCACAAAATATGATCCTTTATGCACTTGAGTAAGAAGTTGCTCTGGTTCCTGGAGTCAGACAGTGTCTTGAGTGTCAACTCACCCTCTTCTTTCATTTTATAGGTCTGTTCTGGAAGGATGACATCGTTCAGGATCTGATGACCCAAAATATGGAGCACATGAGCAGATTCTACCCCCAAGGTCCACATCTGAAGTGTGGGGAGGCAGTTCTCCCTCCTAAAACCACAGGAGTGAGGTGTGTGAGTCCTGTAGTTGGTCCATACTCTCTGGCAGATAGAACAGGAAAGGAATGAATACCGAAACTGCAAGCAGTTGTTACCAAGGGCACTACACAGAGTATGCTTTGGAGGTCCTAGCTGGGGTCAGCTGAGTACAACTCTATGATAATTCATTAAACCTGCCGTGGTGGAGGCGTTAGTAAGCCTAAGCCCCACTTGTCATCCTTGTCTCTTCCAGGGGCAAGCAAGAGGAGAAACTTCGACTCTTAGTGCCCAAGGTGAGACTTGTGTCTTCCCAAGAACTGTGAAGCCCTGACATTATAGCCCATTGCTTTCCCTCTCATTCTTTTCTGCCTCCTTCCTGACCCTTGGCTTTTCTCTTCACAGAGCCCAATGCCTAAAGTGAATAGAGACCAGTGCTTTTCCTCCAAAGTGGTTTCAAAGACCCTGAAACAAGAGGTGACCAAGAATGCCAGGGTAAGTGAGAGATTGCTTTCTCCTGGGAGGGTGGAATTACCAAAGACCTGTTTAAATGAAGGAGGCAGAGATGAAAATGGGAGTGGATACTGGGGTGAGAACAATAAGCAGAAGAGTTTTTTCTTTCCCAGCCAAAAAGAAGCTCTGCTTCCCTGTATCTCACAGGCTACCTATAGGCATCTGTACGAGGGGAGAGGCATGGGGCATGTGGTAGGTGCTGGGAGCCTCTATGGAAAAGATGAACTACAAGGCTGTGCAACATCGATGAATTAAAAACACATCCTGAAAACTTCAGAGCTCTCATAACTGGGCTAAAAGCTCTTTAAAATGTCCTCTTGTGCCATATGCTCCCCTGCATATAGCAAAGAATAGCAAAGCTCCCTTGGTAAAGGGGAACACAACCCAGAGGCCTCACACTTAGGTTCTGCCTTTGTCCCATGAAAATTGGAGTCATCTGGGCAAGGATTGGAGTCATCTCTCTGGAATCTTCAAACTCTTCAGAATCCAGAAGCCAGATGGGAAACCACCTATCTTCATAAATAAGAAATTGGGGCTGGGCTGGCCATGGGCCCTACTGAAGGTTACATAGTGTTCAAGCAACAACCAAGACTGGATCCAGGTCTCCTGATTTCCATCTTTTTCCCCGGCATAGCTCCACTCCTTCCTCTTAAGGACTTGGGGGTGTGGGAACTTCTTCCAAGCAACAACCTTCATGTTGAAAAAAGTCTTGGGGATGGGGCTAAGACCTAAATTGTAAGAAGTGATAGCCAGGGGAAGACTTAAAGGAAGGGCATCCCAGGCAGACATCACTACAACCATGTTCTGAGACAAGGGTACCAGGGCATGTTAGAGGAACAGACAGCAAAGTCAGTGGAAGAAGATGGGACTGGAGAAGTAGGCCAAGGACCGACCATGCAGGGGCTCACAGACCATAGTAAGAGATTTGGATTTTATTCAAGATAATATAAGGAAGTTACGGATAATATAAGGAAGGAAGTACAAGGTGACATGAGCAAGAGTGAAAACTGAGAGGCCTGTAATGATCCACCTCTCCTGGGCCAGGGAGATGGAGGTGGCTTGGATTTGGTTGTGGTAGGGGGGCTGGACATGCCCTCCGTTTAGCAGCAGCCAGCACCTCAGGGAGTCCTAGCCCCTCTTGCTTTCCAAGGAACAGGCTCCCTTTTCTTAATGTGGCAGCTGGGCTTCCTATGTAACCTGGAGTAGCTGCTGGGGCAACGTAATCAGAGCTGAGAGACAGAGACCTCCCTGTGGGAGCTGCTTGCTGTTGTGCTTTCAGGTACTTCCAGAAATGCAAAAAAGGCACAGCCATTCCCCAGCCCAGGGGAAAATCACAGGGGGTGGAGGAACTGCAAGTGAGAGTCGAGGGGCCAGGCTGTCAATTGGAGGCCTGAGTCACTGTGTGGAAGGCTTCCTCAAGTCAGGCTGTCACCGAAAGCTTTGAGGAAGGGGCAGGGGAGGGAAGAGCCACCTCCACCATCCTGACTCCAAATGCCTTTTTTCTTCTTTATTAGGGCTTCTTTGGGCCATTCCCCACAGTGGGCCGCAACCTGGTCGCTGATTGAGACCTTGTGTGAAGCCTCTTCGCCCCAGTGCCCCCCTATTGCCCTTCAGAGGGGCAGTTCTTGGATGACTCAAGTCTGGACCATTAAAATGGATTTTCATGCAAACGCTTTCTGTGAGCTTGTGTGGCGATAGACTAGGTGGGGTCTGAAGTTAGTGGGGTGGGGAGGACACAGGTTTCATTGCTGGTAGAAGGCTTGTTTCTGTCCTGTTTTCCTTCTGCCAACCATTCCTGAAGTGAGGAAAGCATGGGGGTACCACAGCCGGAATGGCAGCCTTCCCCACCCATACCCTGGCCGCACTGTGTGGGCTGTTTGCCCATCTTTTCATGTCATGAAGAGATGGGCTCTGTATTTGCCCCTGGTCATTCTTTCTATCCTCCATGCCAGACCAGCCTAGAGGCTGCTGTTTTATGACAGTCTCCACCTTCAGCATTAAAGCCCCTGCCAGGACCATCCAACAGACTGTGTTCCTGATGATCAGCAGAGCAGATAAGAGCAGTGTTGAGCTCCCAGTGTACAAGCACTTGTTGATGGCTCTTACTTCTTTGCCATTGGTAGCTGAAAATCAACCCAACCAAATACCAGGATGCCTTTTTTTTTTCCCTTCCTGCTGAGCTTTATTTTTTTCCAGAGCACTTTCATACTCATTAGAAATGCATAAGTGTGCACAAACAGCCAGATGTCAAGATTGAGTTGCTTCAAGGAATTAGGATATGACCACACTACATCTTACTCAATTATGTAGCCCAGATAAATATAACTAATTCTTGGTAACACAAACTCTCAGTAATGTCCCTGTGCTAGCCCTCACCCTTAGACTTGTGTTCAAGAACCCAACTATACCTTATCCTATAAGGAAAGTCATATTCACTTGTTCCTACTTGCCATCAAATTATTAGCTATTGTTATTCATCCATCCCCTTCCCCATATACCTTTCTTTCTTGTCCATTTTCAAATGCTATGGAGCTAGTTAATCATGATGGTCAACTTGATTAGCTTGAGAGACATCTAGGAGATTAGTAAAGCACACTTCTGTGTGTGTGTCTGGGCAGGTCATGGGGGAGTGACCTTGCAGGCTGTATCTAGTCCCTGGCTCCTTTGTCTCTGGATCTTCCCCTCCTCTTTGATTTCTGGATGCCATGAATTAAGAAGCTTTCCTCCCCTGCCTTTCTGCCGTGAGGTTTTGCCTTGGAGCCAGTCAACCATGGACTGAAACCATGACCCAAAATAAACTTTCTCTTTTAAGGTATGCATGTCAGGTATTTTGTCCCAGCAGTAGAAAGCTGACGGGCATACCTGTGCTTCATTGTTTCTGTCCTTTATATTTGGTTTCTTCCCTGAAAGACCTTTAAGACTGGTCAGGAAAGTATGCTGTATGTGCCGTAGCTTCACCCAGGTATCTGCTGGGAGGATATGCACTGATATCTAATGGCCCAGATTGCCTTCCACCCATAGCAACAGGTGGACAGTTTCTATACCTGCTGATACCTTCCCTCCTCAAGTCCTGATCTTGCTTCTCATCCTGCTGGGTTCCTACAAAGCTGCAGAATGTGCCTCACCGGACTGCAGGCAGTCCTGAAGTACCTAGGGTTTGATGTTCCCAAAGGCAACTCCCAACCAGTGAAAGACTAAATCTAGTGCAAAAATATCCCAGACTCCTCCAAACCTTAGTGGATGATTCTGAGGGATATTCCATCTGACTCTTCAGTGGATGCCTGATGTTCAATCCAGTTGTCTACAGTATAATCTGTTTAACACCACACCTAATGCTATTTCCTTTCCTTCTTTAATACACACTGACTTTTCCTGTCCCTCATTTGGGATTTCTGGGACCATATCCCATACAAACTACCTATGCCCACCTTCCTATCTCCTTTGGGAGATCTCCTTTGTTTACTACATGGAGTTTGGTTACAATCAATTTCTAACTTTTTGTTAATAGGGAGAAGTCCAAGCAACTTTCTGGCCCACAGAGCACTCAGATTTTTATCTCATCAGCCTTTTCAGTGCTATGGTGCCTTTCCCCATTCTATCATCCTATTTGCTGTGGCAGTTCATCCCTAATTATATCCAGTTGGCTTATGTTCTTGACCCTTTGTATGTGCTATTCCCTCATCATATAAGTGCCCCATCACCAAAACACTTCATAAATCTTTTTTCTTTCAGTTTTTTGAGACAAGGTCTCACAATGTAGTTCAGGCTTGCCTTGAATTTATGGCAGTACTCCTGTCTTGGCCTCCTGAGTGCTAGGATTATAGGCATGGGCCACCAAACCCAGCTCACTTTGTCAGTCCTATCCTAAAAATCTAAGTTCTTCTTTTTGGTGCATAAACTGACCCTTCTAACACTCCCTCCTCAGAGCAAAGTGGTAGAAGTTGGAAAGATAAAAGGTATAGAGAAAATTAAATAATCTGATAATTCTGGAATAGAGCAAATGAGTAGGAAAAATGGAACTTTTTGAAAGGAAAGTAGGTTTAGAGGACCACACTGCATGATTTGGATCATATTAGACAATGAAGAGCCGCTAAAGGTTTTAGAGCAAAGAAATGACAGAGAAAGTTGTGCTTAAGAGTATTCTCACATCTCTGCAAAAGGATTTTGGTTAGAGAGCAGGAGAAAGATGAGAACTGTTTAGAAATGATGGAATAGGCCACACAAACACCTAAATGTGAGTAAAAGAGGACACTGATGAGAGATATTATGAAGGATGTGTTCGTAGGCCTTGGCAGTCATTATGGATTGAATTCTATCACCTCCAAAATTGGTATAGTGAAGTTCTAATCTCTTGTTCCTCAGAATGTGACCTTATTTGGAAATAAGGCTGCTAGAGATTTAATTAGTCAAATGGTGTCATTAGCATGGATTTCATTCCAAAGTAGCTGGCATCCTTATTAAAAGGGAAAATTTGGAGACAAATATGCCTACCTAGAGGGAAGATGATAGGAAGAGTTAGAAGATGAAGGATGCATTAACTAGCTTTCTCTTTGCTGGTCAAAATCCCAACACCCATAACTCAAAGGAAGAGGTTTAATCTGGCTCATGATTTCAGAGGATTCAGCCCATAGTTAGCTGGCTCCAAGGAAGGAATATCATGGAGGATCAAAGATACTTAGTTCGGGGCAGCTAGGAGGCAGATCAGCAGAACAGTACCAGAGAGGAAGGGCCATGGACCAGATATAATCCCCAAGGTCAGGTCTTTATGACCTACTCAGACACACCCAGAGTGTGCTTTACTGTAACCTTTTCTACACAGGTTCTAAACCAATCAAGTTGACAATTAAACCCAAACTGTCACAATTTACAACATACGCAAAAATAGAATCTAGTTGAATTATATGTCAATGTAAAGGAGTCAAACATTGAAGTACTTATAAGATACTATAAGAAAATCTTTATGAACTCAGAGTTGGAAAAGATTTCTTAAAGAAGAAACAAAAGCACTAAAGTAAAGCGCTAACATATTTGATATAATTAATTCAGAATGTCTGATCAGCAAACATCATTAAGAGAGTACAAGAGAAAACACATGCTATGAAATATATCTGCTACTCATAGATCTATCAAGATCTCATATCCAGAATATTTAAAGAGCCCTACAAATCAATAAAAAAAGATTTTTGAAAATCCAGTAGAGCCTGATGTGGTACATGCCTCTAATCCTAGCACTCAGGAGGCTGAGGCAGGAGGACAGCCTGAGCAGTGTGAGTTTGAGGCTAGCTTGGGCAACACAGTGAGTTCAAGGCCAGCATGAGCTACAGAGGAAACCCTGTCTAAAAACAAACAGAGTCAGACAAGGGTGCACATTCCTGTTAACCAGCTATTTGGAAGCTGAAGCAAGAAGATCATGAGTTTCAGGCCAGACTGGGCAACTTAGTGACACCCTGTCTCAAAATAAAAGAAACAAGTAAGTAAGTATATGAATGGCTGTGGATGTAGCTCTGTGGTAGAACATTTGCCTACTATAGATTCGATCCCCAGTACCACACACACATACACACACCACATGTGAGCCAACAGAAAAGTGGGCAAGAGACTTTTACACACACTTGGAAAATGATCTATAAAAACTTAATAAAAGTTATTCAAAATCATAAGCCACCAAGGAAATGCAAATAAAGATAATGATATACCATTATGCCCCAAAAGAATTGCTACTTAAAAAACAAACTCACCAAGTACTGAAAAGTGTTTCAGCGGAGGCTTTTATATGATGTTGGGGTGAGTATAAATTGGTGCAATTAATTTAGAAAACAATTTGATGTTAGTCATTAAAGTTGAACATACATATACCTTGTGGTTCATCAATTCAAATTATAGGTCCAGAGCCCACACCATGGGTTCTCAAACTTCAGCATGCATTATAATTACCTGGAGAAGCCAGCTAGGGCTCCATAGTGAGTTCAAAGCTAGCCTGAACTACATAGTGAGACCTTGTCTCAAAAAAAAAATCACCTGAAGAGATTGTTAAGGTTAGATTACTGAGACTTGCCTTGTGAGTTGTTAATTCCATAGGTCTGGACCCTCAGGCTGCCTTTCTAAGAAATTCTCAGATGAATCTGGGCATGGTGGTGCACACCTATCATTCGAGCACTCAGGAGGCAGGAAGATCACTGTGAATTTGAGTCCAGCCTAGGCTATATAACGAGTTCAAGGCCAGCCTGAACTGCATAGCAAGACCCCATCAAATAAATAAATAAATAAGATTAAAAATGAAAGAAAAGAAAAGAAAAATTTTCAGATGATATTGATGCTGTTAGTCCAGGGACTACACTTTGAAAACCACCAGTGTAGAGAAGCACACACATATGTACGTAGGAGACATGTACAAGAATATTCTTTTTTAAAAAAATGTAAACCAAGTTTATTTTGCTTTTCTAAGTAGTGTTCTTTTTTTTGTTGTTGTTGTTGTTTTGGTTTTTTTTTGTTTTTTTTCTCCGGTACCAGGAACCGAACTCACGACCTTGCGCTTACCAGGCAGGCGCTTTTGCCGCTAAGCTAAATCCCCAGCCCCCTAAGTAGTGTTCTTAAAGCACTAGAGCTTGGTAAACAATGTAGATTAGTATAAGTCATCTTAAAAGCCAGTTTTATTTTGTTTTTCAATGAG